AAATCGAAGTCGCGAACCTCGTGAACCTAACAGGGCTCAATTAGAACTGGAAGACCCCCTGTGGAACCTTTGCAACCCTCCCCCCTTGCAACCCGCCCCCCCAAGCCCCAAACCACAAGCTTTCCCCGAAACCGAAGGAGAGATTCAACAACTCAAGTCTTAGCCCTAGACCCGAAACCTCCAACTCCCCAAATAGCCCCAACAGCCCCAAAGCCCCGAAGTCCGCGCCAGGCACCCCGGGCTGCTTTCAGCCCGGTGCGTGTGCCCCAGCGACCGCCGGGATGGTCCCAGGCCTTTTTTTGTTGGCCTCTTCAGGCTTTAGAGTTTTGGGGCTGGGCGTAAGTGAACTTCTAGTGTACAAGGGATTCAAGGGACTGTGGGCGTTTAGGGAGCTGGTGCAAGGATGGTCTAGGTTCGCGGCGGGGTGCAGGGAATAAGACACGTACCGTCAGAGTCAGGGTTTAGCCATGTTTGTTTTAGGGCTTAGGGTCCGTAACCGGCCGTACCTCCAACGGTTCAATTCTAAGTGACCTTCGGCCAGACGATCTCTGCAGTCAATCCGGCCAAGGTTGTAGAGTTTTACCGTCCCGGGAGTGTTTTTTTGGTGTGGGGTTTGTGGCTGTGAGTTTTGCATTGAGAATTGAGGGATGAATCGACAGGCATGTCCCCGCCCAAGCGCCCCACGAAATCAGAAGCCTCCACCCGAAATGTTAAGCATTCCAGCCAAACTTGATCCCTCAACCCTCAAAGCCCCGAACCCTTGTATAAGGACATGCTACCCTCCTATTCAAGTTGCCGGGCTCGTCTAGAAGGAGCTTGACTCGACCTTCTTCTGCAGGTTTCGCCGCAGCCTGGCAGAGGCCCTGCCGGAGTTGACCCGTCGCGTCGCAAGACATGATGCAAACGACAGTGACACGGATGATGGTCCTAGTGCAGATAGAGTGAAGTAAACTAACATCGTGAAATAATCTCAAGCCGTGCCCCAGATTTTTCTTGGTGTTGTCCTTGTCCTTATTCATACTTGATATCCATCTGACCTTGTTTGGTTCCTCAACTCCCTACCCCCCTCCCTCCCCCCGCCCCGCAGCCAGGCGCACCTCAGGGCAGCACCGACGCCGAGGCGGGGCTCTGGGGCTTCGAGCTGCAGGGTTCCAGGGGGTGTGCGAAGGAGACTCCAAGCTTTTGCTTCAGAGTTCTGGAGTCTGTGAAAGTTGGAGTAGTCTGGGCCGAGAAGATCTTTAACCTTCAAACCTCAGTGCTAAACTCTCTAAACCTCGATCCTAAACCCTAAATTTCATCTACACCCCAGACCCCACACAAAAAGAAACCTAAAGGGGCCCTTCAAAGGCCTCCGTTCTTGAAGACTGCCTTCAGGCCGCCGTCCCAGAAGAGGGGGAGCTTCCATTGGGTCTTCGGGTTCACGGGTCGACTGTCTTGGGCTCGGGCTATCGGGGTTTAGGGTTTGAAGTTTCGGAGCTTTGGGGTTTAGGGTTTCTAGGTGGTTTAAGATTCAAAGTTTGGATTTGGAGGTCAAGGGTCTGGAGTTACAGTTCAAGGTTTAAGGCTTGGGGTTCAATTGGTTCAGGAAAGCGAAGCCCGAGTACGAAGACCCAAATTGACATCTGCCAGTCTAGTCGACGAGCTCAGTGGTGTTTTTTGTAGAGATTGTAGGCTTAGGGTTTAGGGTTTAGGGTTCAGGGTTCAGAGTTTATAGGGTTTAGGGTTTAGTACAACAGCATAAGGGTCCTCCCGGCTCGCCACCGCACCAGAGGCTTACGAGGAGTTTGCATCGCTGCGCGTGCCGCCGAACTCGCCGGCGCAGCCCCGAGTACCCCCGACGTAGTCTCAGGGCGTGTGTTTATAACCCTACGAGTTACGAACCCCTTAATTATATAAACCCTATAAATCCTAGAGCCCAAACCCCTTTAAGGCCCTTATAAACCCTATAAATCCCAGAGCAAACCCAAAACCCTTTAAGGAGGCTGCAAGGGTTTTGCACTGTGGGGCACAGGCGGGCCTGAAGTTCGAGGGGAGGAAGGGTCTCTTGTCCTTTCCGGGGGGTGGAGGCTCGGGACGTGGAGTTTGAGACCTATATGCTCCGGGGATGAAGATTCTTGGGGTGTAGGGTAAGTCTAGGGTTTGGGGGTTCGGGGGATTTTAGGGTTTAGGGTTTAGGGGATTCGGACTTGACAGCATTTTCCAGCACGGCAGAGCGACTTCGCCGAAGAAGCTCCTGTAATGCATCACAGAAGTCTGAGTACTTTTCTTCTAAATTCGATGTCTTTTGACGGTCCGTGTAGTCGTCCTACAATGGGCCTCCAAATCCCTATGCTGATTGTTCGGGCTCCTATGTTAAAGATTCAGGGCCCTTTCAGAGCTCAGCAGTCCTTCAGACGGGAGCAGCTATCCAGACACTCAGCGCGCGGCAATCTTTTAAATTCGATGGCCCTTGAACCTTCGCTTTCAAAAAGATACAAGCAAGCCCTTGGCTCCACACGCCAAACCTTCTCAGTGTTAAGTGCCCCTCAATCCTGAGCAGCAGAAGCTGCTTGCCCACCAGAAATGTTCCAAAAGCACGAAGTTGCGTCATTCTTATCAGGTGATGATCATGATGATGATGATCATGATGATGATGATGCTGATGATGATGATGATGATGACGATGATGATGCTGCTGATGATGATGATGAGGATGAGCATGAAGGTGATGCGGTAATGCGGTGGTGATGATGAGGATGTTCGGGGCGACGACTATTGCTGGTGCTACTGGTGTATGCCCCGCGGAATCCTAAAAGCCCGTGCTCGCGCAGAACAAGTCCCTGACCCCCGCTGTGGCCGCGGCCTTCCGGGCGATGGAGCGTGAGCAGGCGCAGAATCGGGAGGCTTGCCCGTCCCAAACATCCTCGAGATATCTGCAGCAATTACATAGCCCTTTCTTACGAAACCTAGCTTTTGGAAGTCCTGTTCACATTCCGGTGTGGGATGGTACATCCAGGGCTCCTGAGGCCTTAGGAAGCATGGGCCAGATTTCCATTTGTATGAAAGGCTCTACTTATTTGGAGGTTGGAGCTTCTGAGATTCTGGACGTGATGATACATAAGGCACTTTCCTTGAGAAGTAGTCGTGGAGTCCAGAGGCGCATGCGATCGAAATAGTTGTTATAATGATCAGACATGATCAGACTCTAGTATCTCTAGTACGCGACTTCCCGTCTTTCGACTCACAAGCCGTTGCAAGCAGCAATGGTTCAGGGATGAGAGTGTAGGGCTGGGAGCTCAGGCTGTTCAGAAGCATGATTCCCCTCCACGATGCTAAAAAACACGGACAACTTCGACTAAAGATCGATGACGGACAGAGGACACTCATCTCTAGCAACCTCCCAGGTCCCAGAATCTTGACGTGCCAAATGAAGAAAACCTGCATCGCATGAGGCCTTGACCCCACAACGCGGAGTGTAACGTGCTTGCTGCGCCTTTCTGGCCGGGTTGCCGGCTTGGGGACTAGGTTTCGGTTCCCTAAACCCTAAACCCTAAACCCTCAAAACAAGCATCTCGGCCGAAAGGTGCCTGCAGGGCAGTGCATGCGACGTGTTCTGGCCAGTCCCCCAAAGTGGATTTCGACGGGGTTTCGGGTTTGTGGTGTAGGGCTTCCGGTCTGGGGAGTGGGATTGACGGTTTTGGGCACAGGGTACCCTGAACCCTAAACCGAGAAATCTCTGTCACTAACTTCGGATATGAGAGTGACACTGCACGCAACGCGTTCTTTAAGCTCAAGCCGGCTCAAGCCTACTATTCTGGTGGTTTCGCAAACTCTAGACTCAGACCCTTAACCCAGTTTATGCTTGCCCAGGTTCTGGTGGCCCTATCGCATGCGATACCCTGTTGGTCTTGCAGATTCGTTATGACCGTTGTGGGTTTAGGCCTTCAATCCTTTGCGTGCAGGTTATGCAGGCCCCAATCTTTTGGTGCTAGCAGGTTGCGCAACCTTAAACCCGAAGCCCTCAACACACACTCTGATATATGTATATCGATCTATATACATCTATATATATATAC